CATTGGCCGCGCGCGCGGTGCCGCCCGCTCGCCGCCCGAGCCCGGATTGGGCGGGGCCGGCCAGCGGCCACGCCCCCCAGCGGCGGCGGCACGTGGAGGCTCGGCCGCGGGGGCCGCGCGTCACGTGGGCGGGTTCCCGCGGGCCGTGGGTCACGTGAGGCGGCAAGATGGCGGCTCCCGGGGACGGTAAGGCGGGAGGGCGGGTGCGGCAGCGCCGTTCTGTGGGGGGCGGKGGCTTTATGTCCGTGTGTTGTAGGCGCCGACCTGGAGGCCTCGCTGCTGAGCTTCGAGAAGCTGGACCGGGCCTCCCCGGACCTGTGGCCCGAGCAGCGTGAGTGCCGCGCGCGGCCCCCGCGCCCCGGCAGGCGGCGGCCCCGGCGGGCGCGGCGGCGGCTCACGCGCCTTTCCCTCTTCCCCGCAGTGCCCGGCGTCGCCGAGTTTGCCGCCTCCTTCAAGAGCGTAAGCGACGCTCCGAGCTCGCGCCCGCGCCCGGGGGGTCCGGGGCCCTCCCGGCCGCTCCCCGCCACGGCCCCGAGCCGCGGCGCAGAGCAGCTCGGGGCCGGCCCTTGCGTGTCCCTCCCCGGGGGGGCAGCCTCCCGGCAGGCACGGAAGGGACAGGAGGATGTCAGCGCTTCCCGAAGAAAGTGCTGYGCTTTCTACAGCCTTAACTTCCAACTCCCCCGGTGCCGGTTTTATCTCCAGTAAATCTGGAGAAAGCCGGAAAGCTGCGATAAGTGCAGGGAAATCTCTCTGCAGGGCCCTGGGGCCCTTTTACTGCCAGTGTGACAGTGTGTCCTGGAAACCCTAGACCCCTTTATTTATTTATTTTTGTATGTGCCTATAAATGCACTCTTCTGAGTTATGTGGGGGTTTTATTTGTTTGTTTTCCCAAACAGCCTATTACTAGTTCTCCTCCCAAATGGATGGCTGAATTAGAAAATGATGATATTGATATGTTAAAGGGTGAGTATGGACTGTGCCTTTTGAGTAGCAGGTAAGAGTGCCAAAGTGGGGTTTGCTTGTTTGTTCTTTCCTTATAAATAAAAGGAGGGGGTGTGAGGAGGTCCAGCTGGAGGAGCAGCTCTTTGATAAAGCTGGCTCAGAGAGGGCAGGACTGCTCCTGAGTTGAGGCAAATGTGCTGAGTATTTCRACTATGTATGATACATTCTTCACAGCTACGTGAACCTTAATTTTAGGTCTGTATTGACTATAATAACAAACTTGAGCTTGAATAAAAGTAACTTAAGCYATTTTTAACTGTAGCCACTTCTTAATGCAAGAAGAGTCAGCTGCTGAATGGCACGTTACAGGGCACTGTGAGAAGTTTGGCTTGAAGGTGCTCTGTGAAGTGCAGGTATGTTGCCACTAGAGGACTATAGACTGACAACCCTTTTTCCTGTATTTCTAGAGCTGGGGAGCCTCACTACTGCTAACCTCATGGAGAAGGTTCGAGGCCTGCAGAACCTGGCTTATCAGTTGGGCCTGGATGAATGTAAGTGCTGTCTGGAGAYGTGACCAACCACGTTGCAAACATGCTCAGGATTATTTGTAGCTGGAAAATATATCGGCAGCTTTGGTAAATATGTGACAGCACTAGCAGTGCAGTAGGAAGGCCTCCCGAGGGATGAAGTACTGAATTATGGTCTCTTAGCTGCCCAAAACAAGTCTGTTGGGGCACAGTGAGGCTTAATAGGTTGCATTTAAGACTTTGTAACTTTGAATTTAATTTTCTAATGCTTAGACCTATTTATATTGTAGATAAATAATGCAATAATTCATGTATGTGATCTTCTAGAACAGCTACCTGATCTCCAACACACTTGCTAGCAGAAAATTTTTGTCAAGCATTTGAAGAAGGAATTGTCTTCATCATGTTCAGGACTCTTGTTCTGATTTAGGTACTAAACATTCTCCTTAATTTGCTTTAGCTTGTGCTTTAGAGTTTCTCTAGGGTGAGCGTGTAGGTTTGAAGGTTTTAAAAAATACKTTGAAGGTTTTAAAATCTTCAGGTTTCTTTGATAGCTGTATATTGTGGTACAAGTTATATGATGCGAAGTCTCTCACCTCTTCAAAAAGCAGTAGGATTTACCTTTGGAGCCTCCTTGCCTGGGCTAATGCTCTCTTACAGTTAGATTAAGCCTGTTTTAACACAGTCTTGCATGTATAAATTCATTCTATTTTCAGAGCTGAAATTTCTTAAGACTGTATAAATCAYTTACTAGTGTAGAAGTTATGGTAAAGCAGTATCTTAGTAAAAGACAAAGTAGGTGTGTACTGCTCATGGATTAGCTTTAAGTAAACTCTAGACTTGAATACTCGAAATCTTGGTGATGAAAAATATTTAAGAGTTCAGTTATATTAAAGCTAACTAGATTGTATTGTTTAGCTAACAATACTGTTTCTCATTTATTTATTTTTAATAAGAACAAATAAAAAGAACTCCARATGAGAAGACAGTAAAATATTTGAGGACGAAGAATTTATTACAGTTTGTGGGAGCTGAAGTCTTGAATTTTCAAGGCTTATGAAAGTTGTCTTCATGTTTTTTGCTTCTTGTCCTTATAATAGCTTAATGGAAACAGATTTCAGTATCTTTTGTCTATCAGAATGGGTGCATTTGTCTCAATTCTCACAGAAAAGGAAGCGAAACACAGAGTTTGAAGCAGATTTTTTTCAYGACCATTTTCCTAAATATTCTGGCTTTAAGGGTTTTTTTTTGCCCTTGTARCAGATCTAGTGAGAGAACAAGAAGAAAAACAAAACAAAAAAAGCTTTAAAACTAAGAGATTTGTGTTTTGGGGGCAGAGATATTTGATTTGATCCTGTATGTGTATTGAATATTAACAGTTCTTGTTTAATGTGGCTGCTAATTGAAACTGCCTATCAAAAACAGGAGTTTAAAAAAAAAAAAAAAAGAAAATCTGTAGACCATTTTCCTCTAGATGGCAGCATGAGCTTCCCCCAGAAGTCTTACTATTTTATTAATTGCACTATTAAGTTGAGCACACTTTCCATCATGCTTGAACGTGATTTTCACGGCGATTCTTATGACATATTCTCTGTTTTCAATGTGTAGCATTCCATTTGACTGTATTTTTCACATTTTACTTGTATTCAGAATGAGAAACAATCCTGCCTTTTTGTGACAGTAACTTGCTCCTATTTGCTTTTTCTTCAGCTTATGAGTTTTTTTTTTTGTACTCCACTCCAATTTCTTTATATTTTCCAAGATCCCTTTTTTCCTCCAAGTCATTGATAAAATTGCTGTGCAGGATTACAGTGATTGCAGTAGCACAACATTAGAAATATATCTATTTAATGATTTGTTAGTTACTTGTGAGGTCTGTTCTTCAACCAGTTTCCAACATATTTCATATTAATTTTGTGTTATAATTCATTAAACAAGATGACRTGTGGGAACTTGGTCGCTTTAAGAGTTGTATTCATCAAAACAATATTGCTACACTAAAAAAAAGAAATCTGAGCAGATGATTTCACAAGCTGTAGTTTCATAAATTCATAATTACTGAATTATGTGCCTTTTTCTTAGATTCATATGAGCTGTTTTCGTGTTTTACCTGGGATCAGTGGAAGTCTGCTGGTTTTAATTACTTGAGCAATCATAGTTGTCCTTCCAAAATATTGACACGGTGTCAGCTTTTTTTCTCCAATTTTTGACAGTATTTTGACTGATCCAAAAATGCTAAAAGTGAACTTYAATAGTTCACAAAACGCTTTGAGATGCCTTGCAACTGCTGCGGGCAAATTATTGAAATTTGATAACTTGCAGATATTCTTCTGGATTAGCTTGTATAGAAAACGCGTTCATTTGTGAGATGACTCTATAAACTGCCTTTCTTGATGAATTCAAAACAAATGTCTTGCATGTTTTGTCCAGATCTATTGTTCTGTCCAGTGATCATTCAATATTATCTGGATTCTACATGCTGATTCTATTTAATTCTTTCTGTCCGTAATTTCTTGGGTGTGTGCCTTTTTTTTTTTCTCCATCTCTCTTTTCTTTATTGCTTTTTGCTAGTTGTTTTTTCTCCCTCTGTTACCTTTACTCTGTCTAATCCTGGCTATTTTGACAATGCCTTACGGCTTCTGAGGATCAAATGAAATTACGAGGATATGATTTATATTTTCTTTCTGGCTTGTTTGATACCTGGTTTGACTTACAGTTGTTCTCAGCCTCTAAAAATTGCTAGTTTTACAGTCACCACTGTTTTACTGCTCTGCACTTCAAGCTGCAAATATTTATGTGATTTAAAGCAGTGCCTTTTAATGAGTGCTGCTTGCTTCTTGTAAATTTTGCCTTACCAAGTGAAATTGCATAGGCTCGCGCTGCTTCGGATGCAACAGTAAGTTCAGGTGCAGTCAATTAAAAATTTCAGAGATGATTTTTAATATTAGTAGCTTGAGACACTGCAAGTGTTCACTGCTAGCAGAGCTTCTGCCCAATATTTTATATGGATGTTTATGGAATTGGTCATCTCATCCTCCACTGAGAAATGTCAGAGGCCTCCACGTGGACTGCAGTAGCTTTGTCTGTGAACAGATCAATGTGAACATGTGATATAGAAGCCCAAATGCCAGCATTTCACAGCTGAAATAGTTAATGCTGGTTTTAGTATGCACCTACCCCTGTTTTTCATCCTGAAGGGCTAGTTACTTCTTTCTGAATAAGTTAACTACTGTTCTTTTTAGCCATGTAACTGCTTCTTCTGTCTCCAGTAGTACCTAGTAGATTTTGTGCTGATTCAGGTGAGAGAAATGGCAGATTTTAGGGGTGGTAGTGTAAGGTTTTTGTTGTTGTTTTATTCTGTTTTTTTTCTTCCTTTGTAATTGAGAATGATTACTGATTTAGCACATTTTTGATAGTTTTAGTCTCAATGTGATTTTTATCAAATGATTTTTTGTACGCTTTTCACTCTTGGCTGTATTATCTCCTATACATTAATCTCTCTGTACATTCATCTCCATCTCCAATAACAGGCTATTAAACTGCAAAACAAGAAAAGACAGGCTGATTTTTCATAAGTCGGTTTTCTACATGGACCACTTAATTTGCTGACGACTCACTTTGCAGGTGGTGCAGAAAGGGTCTCCAAGATGATGGTCAAAAACTTTTGTTCAACCCTCCTAGCAAGCTAATGGATGGATTCTTGCTAGTTCTTGTCCTTCCCTTTCTTAGTATGAAACTCACAATAAGCTTTGCTGGCTTCCTTCCTTGATGAAATACAGTTYTGTTGCATATCTGAAATACATAAAAGTTTTTTTTCTAACCTAAAAATGTGTTAATGGTTTTACTCCCCTTAGAGTAGACCATTCTTAGGTACTTGGCATTTTCACTACAACTTCTGTTGATCAGCTGGACTCTTAAATAAGATAAAGAACTATTGCAGATCTGGCCTGGATATTTGTGACCTACAAAGCATTAAGTTTGAAAATAGTTCATCTAAATAAGACCGAGTAGCTCTGTCCTTCTGCTCTATAAGCTATAACAGTTCTCAGATCAACTGAATCAAAGTGAATTTTAGACTTCTAAGATCTTCATTCCCTGATGCAGCTGTTCTGGGAAGGGCATATGTTGCTATTGAGCTCAGTGTTAAGGTGTTATTATCTTTGCAGATTTTTTAAGCATTTGCTATGTTATCCTTATGAATGTACAGTCATTTATGGCAATTCCACTTATTTGTCCATATTTTTGTTAGGGTTTTTTTGGTGTTATATTAAGTTTTTATTTGGAATTGTTTGGTGCTTTTCCTCTAAAAATCAGGAATATAAGGAATATAAGAATGACTGTCTGATTTTCACATTTTCTTAAGAGTGATGAGGAGGTGGTTGAATATGCTGGAGCAAGTGACCATCTCTGTACCCCACCATGGTTTTGCCTGCCTTGACTTTCACTGGACTCTAGAAGCCTTGCTGCTCTTTTCTTAGTGATTTATTTTCCATATATGTTCACCATGATGCTCAAGCAAAGTAGTGTGCACTGGAAGAACTGCTCGATGTTAGTTATTGACTCACATTTGTATGAGATTTAGACCTGGGGAGGTGGTGTTATGCAATGAAAGGKTTGTCATTTTGTAGGGTAGACTAATAAAAGAAAAGTCAGGCAGTTTAGTCAGAATTAGTAATAGTTTTCTGTAATGTAAAGAATGAATAAGTGACTAGGAGGTGTTTGGAGAAAGAAGGACAAGTGGTGCAGTATGTGGAATAGACCTAAAATAGATTAATGGCAAAACATGAATGGGGAATGATTCTTTGCTGTTTCCCATAGTGCAGCCGTCAGAATAAAGTAGTATGTGAGGTTCAGAGCAAAATAAGAAGCTTCATTTTCACAGTGTATTACAGCTGTGAAACTTGGGGCCACAGGAGTTTGTGGAAACAAAGCTTGTGTTACTCAGTAAATGAGACAAATTATTGGAGGAGAAATCCATCAAGGATTTCTAAGCACAAAAGTCACCATTGGCTTGGAAAGCAGAG